TCATGCTGCCAACTTCTTTCTTTCAGTAGTCTCAAAGGTGCTACAAGACCGCTCTACATACTGAGGCAGGGCAGTTAAAGTGGATTCATTTCTGCAGCGTGTCTTGGAGAACCGTTCTAATAACCAGGCCTGCCAACATTCCCTGTAATCTCCATAGTTATTCTTCTCGCCGTCCTTGGCTCGCTCCCCGCCTTCGAACGGGAGAAACTGGGGAAGGAGGGCTAGGGAAAGAGGCCAAGGACGCCGCCTCAGGCGCTGAGGCAGGAATGGAGAAGAGGCCCTGGGCCTCAGTTAGGACTAGAGTGAGGCACCGCCAGGGCAACCGCCCAAATTCCGCCCTCGGCAGCCTACTGCGCATGCGGCTAATCCCTGGCGGTTATAAAATGAGAGGAAAGGTTGAGGTGGGTTGGGCCTGGTCTTGGAAGCGGCAGGGATGGGCAGCGGCCTCTGCTTTTTGGGGCCCCTTCGGTCCTTCCGGCTTCCGCTTTTGTTTCTGTTGGCGGCCTTGGGGGGAGGCCTGGCTGCGGGTCCCCAGCTGCCTCTGGCCATCAACACCTGGGCGTTTAGGAGAGCGGCAGAAGCAGGTGCTGTTTCCCTTTTGCGTCGTCGACTCTGGAACCCTCCTAGGCCGCGTCCGCACTGCAGAGTTAACCCAGTTTGAGACCGATTTAACTGCCGCGGCTCCGTGCTACAGAAACCTGGGAATTGGGGTTTATTTTCTCCCTCCCTCTTTTAAATGATACTTAAGGGGGTTGCAGACTGCCAGAAATAGCGCAAACTGAGTCCACTTTTAGGGTTAGGGTTAGTGCTAGGGAATCATGGGAAGTGTATTTTATTGTGGCACCAGAACTCTCTGACAGAGAAGGCTCAATGTCTCAGAAAAAAAACAATCCCCATGATTCCCTAGCACTAACCCTAACCCTAAAAGTGGACTGAATTTGCACTATTTCTGGCAGTCTGCAACCCCCCTTACTAGTGTTTTCTTATAACGCAACCTACTCAAGCCATCCATCTTCACATCACATCACATCCTCTTTTTAGATCCCTCCTTACTTTCTGGAATTGGAGTTTATTGTGTTGTCTCTGATAGAGAAGGCTAAACGTCTTGCAATGCTACAGTTCCCAGAATTCCCCATCACTGAGGTAGGTTAAAGCGGTGTCAAACTGGATTGTTTCTGCAGTGTGGATGCATAGTTTCGAATCCTTCCTTCTCCTCCTGACTCCTCTTCTTCTGTCCTCTGGGCATAGAAAGAAGCTCTATGGTCCAAAACACACTGCAGAAATAATCCAGTTTGAGACCGCTTTATTACTGCCCTGGCTCAGTGCTAGGGAATCTTGGGAATTGTAGTTTATTGTGGCACCAGAGCTGCTCCTGACAGAAGGCTAAATGTCTCACAAAGCTACAGTTCCCAGAATTCCCTAGCATTGAGCCAAGGCAGTCAAAGGGGTCTCAAACTGGATTATTTCTGCAGTGTGGGTGCATAGTTTTGAATCCTTCCTCCTCCTAAGCATTCGGGGGCTCCTCTTCTTTTGTCCTCTAGAGAAAGAAGCTCTATGGTCCAAAGCACACTGTAGGAATAATCCAGTTTGAGGCCATTTTAACTGCCTTGGCTCAGTGCTAGGGAATTGTAGTTTATTGTGACACTAGAGTTTTCTGTTAGAAAAAGCTAAATGTCTCACAAAACTAGTTCCCAGAATTCCTTAGCATTGAGCAGGGCAGTTAAAGCAGTCTCAATATGGATTATTTCTCCTGTGTGTTTCAGACCTATGCCTTGCAAATTCATCACATGAATGCCGCCAGGTCTATGGCTGCATCTGCACTGCAGAATTATTGCAGTTTGACACCACTTTAGCTGTCATGACTCAATACTATACAGGGCCAGATTAAAGCCCAGAGCACTTAAAAGATTTTTGTGCCCCCATGTATGTATCTAATTCAAAATATAAACAATAATCGTAAATTAATTTTTTAAATAAATCTAACAGTAAGATGGAAAATAATTGTTTATTTTTTGTTTGGTTTTTTATTTGTTGTTTTGTGCCTCCAAGTCATTTTTGATTTATGGCAACCCTAAGGTCTATTACAAGGTTTTCTTGACAAGTTTCTTCAGAGAGAGCTTGCCATTGTCATCTTCTGAAGCTGAGAGAGTGTGACTTGTCCAAGGTCACCCATTGGGGTTTTATGCTCGAGCCGGGAATCCAACCATGATCTCCAGAGTCCTAGTCCAACACTCAGACCATTACATCACACTGCCGTGCTCTCTCTTTTTATTTTATTTTATTTTATGTATGTTTCCATCTTGTTATAGGGCCTTTGCAGACTGCCAGAAATAGTGCAGATTAAGTTCACTTTAACTGCCCTGACTCAGTGCTAGGGAATCATGGGAACTGTAGTTTATTGTGGCACCAGAGCTCTCTGACAGAGAAGGCTTGGTGTCTCAGAAAAAACTACAATTCCCGTGATTCCCTAGCACTGAGCCAGGGCAATTAAAGTGGACTAAATTTGCACTATTTCTGGCAGTCTGCAAAGGCCCATTTTCCTGAAGCCAGGTGCAGCTAGAAAGGTAAGAACCACGCCTGTGCATTTATGAATTCCAGTACTTTTCAAATCTCATGAGGATGACAACAGCAGTAAGTCTTGTCCCATCCAATGTGGATCAGTAAGAATTTTCAGTCTACTCAGAATTTGTCTGATGAGGAAGAAAATACCACACTTGTCATATATTTCCCTGGGATTTTGTTATCTCTCTCTAGCTTTCTTCTGCTTCTCCAGCAGGAAAGATTCCCCAGTTTCTCACAGCTTCTGTTCTAGTCACATATATTTGGTATGTAGTGGCATTTCCTGATGAATGGATGTGAAAGTACTGTATTCTGCACACAATCAATTGTTGTGCGCCTTCAAGCCATTTCCAGCTTATGGTGACTTTAAAGCAAACCTATCATAGGTTTCCTCAGCAAGAATTTTTTTTTTTTTTGCTTTCCCCTTTCACTGAGAATGTGACTTTTCGCTGACAGAGTGTGACTTGCCCACGGTCATTCAGTAGATTTCCATGGCTGAGAGGAGATTTGAACCATGGTCTCCCACAGTGCTAGTCCAACATTCAAGCGACTACACCAATTTTAATGTTGTAAGCCGCCCGATTGCTCTGCAGAGGGGTGGGATATAAATTATTATTATTATTATTATTATTATTATTATTATTATTATTATTATTATTATTATTATTATTATTATTATCTTGGCTCAACATGACCAGCATCTCTTACATTATTTTACATTAAACATTGAGATGAATGAGCTGAACAACAGATGAACTTGACTAGAGCATTGCATCTTTCTATGCTGGCAAAATTTCTGCTGATTGTTACTTTCTCTTCCTTGCTCCTGCTTTTTCATCAACTTTTCTCTCACCTGTTTGCTGTTGGCAATTTTGTGTTTTGATTCGGAGAAACATTCTACAGGTTACTTTAAAGATCACCTTCCCACCCATAGATTCATTAGCTTGGTAATGTGTTCAGATGAGGTTGTGATGTGCACACAACCTAAGGATTCATGCAGCAACGCTAAAGAAGCAAGTCTTATCTGTAATGACTTCTCCTCCATTGACACTATATTTATACTGGAGGCGTCATGGGTTTTCAGTACCTATTAAAAATCTTCTTTTCTCACTTATTTCCTTCATTAAATGTGAAATTTATAGCCTGGGATTTTAATTGGTTTTTAATGTTTAATTTCTGTTTATTGTTTCTATTTCTATTTATTTAAAATCTTCTAAAAACCAAGAATGCAGCACACAGAGGCATAAAATGGTAATCTAGCCAGTGTGGCACAGTGGTTTGAGTGTTAGACAATGACTCTGGAGACGAGGGTTCAAAGTCCGGCTCAGCCATGGACACCTACAGGGTGACCTTGGGCAAGTCACACTCTCAGCCTCAGATGATGGCAATAGTAAACCCCCTCTGAAGGAACTTGCCAAGAAAACCCTATGATTGGTTCCCCTTAGATTTGCCATAAGTCAGAATCAACTTGAAGGCACACAGCAGCAACAACAAAGTACACGTGTGCCATATAACAAAGCTGACGAATCACTGGCTCTGGTTACTTCTACCTGAACTGAATCAAAGGCCAAGTTGCACAGGGCTGATGGGAACTAGAGTCCAACAGCTAAAGGGAGCCAGCTCTCCAGCCTTGTCATATAGAAAGGGTTATGCTATCAACACTTCTCCCTGCCACTTCTATTTTTTGAGGACCTCCTGCTGTGCCTTTAACAACAGCTTGACACAATTAGATACCCCGTGAAGCTTCTCCATGGCAGAAAAAGCTTTCCCAGCAAGGTTAGTTTGTCAGGTTCCTGCTGTTAAGAAGAGCAGAAAGAATAATATATGTTGGCAGCCCCCCTCTCCCCCCCC